AACACAAACAACAACGGCGAGGTTGAGCGCGTGTTATTCTTTTAAGAACGCCAAGCGCGGCGTTTGGAGACGGCTCTGGTTGAGATGATTACGCGAGCAAGGTCGTCCCCAACCCCACCCCCCCTCACCCGGAGCAGCAGAGATTGTAAAGGCCAAATCTTACGGACCATTAACTCAGTCGGGCTGGAACCTTTGTCGAAAGCCCTCGCCGATGATGAAATATTTTCCTTGCAGCCTCTCTCTCTCTCTCTCTCTGCTCCACATTTCTTTTCTCATCTCCCTCCCTCGCCCCTCTTCTGCTTATCTCGATAAGAAGAGCACGGCGGCCGCCAGGTGGGTAATATTTCTCGGCGCCGCCCCCCGGCGAAAGAAAGAGAGAGGAAAACGCCGAGTCGATGTTGTTGTAATTTATTCCTCTATGTTTCTCGAGTGTATACTCGCCTCGAAGCCGTACTGGATGTCCTGGTTGTTGAAGTCGTCGTACGACTCGGTGGTGTGCGCGCCCAGCAGCAGCGGCACGCGCACGAAGGGGTCGGCCGCCTTCTCCAGTGCGACGCGCACGGGGTCCAGCCCCGGGAAAGGAATGGAGGGCCCGAAACGGGGCAGAAACCTGAAACCAAAAAGAAAAATATCTAGACTTTGCAATTCTTCAAAGAATCAGCAATGGAAACACTTTCTTTGCACTGTGAAAAATATCATCGAAAATTTGAAACATTGGTCATGGTTTTTTATTAACAAAATATGTATTAAATTTGAGAGAGCCCGTTCTTGCTTGTAGATCAATTCCAAGCCGATACTAAGAGCTAATAAATTTACAATATAAAATTGTAATATCAATTCCCAGAAAAAAGTTTCGGTAAAGACTTACCTGGGCGGGTCCACGGACACGGACAGGAGCGCCTCCAGGGGAAGGCGCCGCAGACACGGCGCCAGGTCCTGGTCACCGGGCGCCGACACGTGGCAACCCATCTGGTGAGAGACGACCCCACGCAGGTCCCAGGGACTCTGCACCGTGGCCCAGGGGCTCAACACCGACCCGGACACCAGCGCCATGTGGTGAAACAGGCCTGTCGACACAACAACAACAACAATTAGATGGAGTAGGAAGGATAAATAAAACGACTGCACAAGGTTAAGGAGGACATGAAACGTAAAGTTAATTTTGTGCTATGTTGAAAATCTCGTTATTAATTGCTTATATTATTGTGGTGGGTTCGTCTACAAAGTCCGTCAGTTGCCGTTTCGAAACTGCCAAGTTCAGCCAATGCAAGCTCTCAGAGCGCCTGGTAGGCAGGCAATATCTCGCCTGCAGCGCATGCGTGTATTGCGGGCAGGCCTACCCTGAATATCGCAGGCGCCGAGGACTAGCACGACGAACTTTAAACGGCAACGCACTGAATTTTGTTCCAAAAATTTTTCTTAGAGAAATGAAAAATTCTGATTCCATACCAGCGCTCAAGCTGTCGTGTCCGCAGAAACATGTCTACACCCTATGTGTATATTGGTGCCCTTAAATTAGACGCTCTTACACCATTCGTTCTCCGCCCAACACGAAGTAGATGTGGCGTTGGTAAAACGAATAAAAAAAATCTGCAAATTGTTTCGAGGGAAACAAAATGTTTTTACTGTGTAGCAGCTGGCGTCGCGCGCAGTCATGACCCAGCGCCACGTGGCGCGCAATAAAGTAAAACACAGTCGTCGTGTCGAGCGTGCCGCGAATCTCTTTACTGTTTGTTTAAATGCATATTTCGTTTCCATGTTATTATATTTGGAACGCTTCTCAAACTCGTAGGGCGCACGTCACAAAAACCCAAACAAAAAGGGCATGTGGGGATCATATGACATAGAAAAAGGCTTATTTCGAGTTGTTTCCTTTTGTCCTATATCGGTGCACACGTTCATGCATGCACCGCGATGCGGAGGACCCGCGCGAGTCTGTCAGCAACAGAAACAAAAGGTTTGCCGGAGAAAGTTCTCGCTGTACCGTTGCACACTTGCATGGAATCACTTGGTCCGTTTCGGTGGGCGGCAGTGTGAGTGTGCGTGCGCACGCGCGCGCGCATGTGTGTATGTGTAGGTGTATAGGTGTGTGTGTGAGTGTGCGACAGTGTAAGTGTGCGCGCCGCGATAAAAAGTGAAATATCTACTGCTGCTTGCCGCCGTGTTTGCCGGTTCCTTATTGGGGCGGAGCGTGGCGGGGCGTG